GTGCCTCGAAGAAACTACAGAACACCCAATAGCATATATCTAATCACTAGACACTGATAAAGATCTTGTGAAGAAGGAAACCAGTTGTGCTCTAGTGGGGCCTGGAGTGCGGCCTCACTGGCAACGACCAGCCAGTAATATCCTTCCTCACCAGAGAAGGATTGGCCACCCTTGTGCAGTATACGGCCATTGCCCCCCACGACTACAACAATTAATTCTTGGCCCTCAGTCCCCAGCGGCTGCGAAGCAACTGTCGAATGCGGCGGTCAGACCTGCGACGCAGTGGAGGGTATTATGAACCCCTAGGTCCAGAGAGGCCGCCATTGGAATTTGGACTTGGCTACCCTCAACGCTAGAACACTATCTAGTGAAGGTAGTCTAGCAGTCTTACTCGAGGAGTTAGAGGGTGTTCATTGGGATGTAATAGGGCTCAGCGAAGTCATGACGAAAGCTTATACAGTGCTGAAAAGGAAACACTTTCTAGGCTACCATGGATTATTTGACAGAAAAGAACTAGGGGTGGGGTATTTTATACGCAATACTATCGCTGGCAACATGGGAAGGTACGACAGCATCCGTGAGAGGGTAGGTGACAAGTAATAAAGTTAGGTTTGACAAAAGTTACAAGATAAAGGTAGTACAGGCTCACGCGCCTACATCGAGCCATGATGATCATTTGGTGCAATGCTTCTATGAAGACGTAGTCAGTCATTAGTAAAATCACAGTATCTTATTCTGATGGGTGACTTTAATGCCAAAGTAGGCCAGAAACAGGCCGGAGACCATGCAGGGGGGGGGGGGAATATAGCATTGGCTCAAGAAATACCAGAGATGAGTTCTTAGTAAAGTTCGCAGAACGTATTATTTTACGAATTGTGTTGAACAACTTCAGAAAACAATTTAACCGTAAGTGGACGTGGCGAAGTTCCAATGGCAAAACTAAAAGAAAATACAAATTACATCATTCGGTGTGCACACCCAGGTACTGTACAGGATGTATAAGTAGTTGGAAAAGTTCGATGAAGTGACAATAGAATGGTAACCGCTCATATTAGGCTAGATTTTCAAAAAAGGAAAGACAAAAAATGATACGTGAGAAGCCCATTAATGACCAAGTGGTGAGAGCAAAAGTACAGGAATTCAGAGTTTCGTTTCGGGATGGATTCGAGCACCAAAAGAGATAACCGATGTTAGCGTTGGCCCAATGAACGATAATATTATTAGTATCACCAAAGAGTGTGCAATGAAAGTCGGAGGTAGAGTAACTAGACAGGACACAGTAAACTATCTCAGGAGACGAAAAATCTTGTTAAGGGACAACAAACCATAAAAGCCTCAAACGCAACCGTCCAAATAGAGGTAGTGGAGCTTTCTAAATTAATCAATAGGCGTAAAGTAGCCGACGTCCGAAGGTATAACATAGAGAGAATTGAGCAGTCTGTAAAAAGCGGCAGAAGCCTAAAAGCTGCGAAGGCAAGCTTGTGCACAGGCAAAAATAGGATGAATGCATTAAGGAACAAGGAATGCAGTGTCATAACCTATAAGAATAGGATAGTCGAGGTGGCAGAGGAGTTCTACAGAGAGTTGTACAGAAGCCAACACAACCAGGATGATATTGTGAGAAACAATATTGGTCTAGAGGAATTCGACATCATACCAGTAATGGCAAGGGAAGTGAGGAAAGCCCCCCCCCCCCCCAAACAAAATGCAAAAAGGCAAAGCCGCTGGAGGAGAACGTAGCAAGGAAGCTCCTACAAGATGGCGGAGAAATTGCGTTAGGAAACTGGCCGCCTTATATAAGAAGTGTCTCTTGACGTGAAAGGTGCCAGAATCTCGGAAGAACGCCAACACCATCTTTATCCATAGGAGACGAGACGTCAAGGATTTGAAAACTTACATCACGATCAGCTTACTGTTCGTTCTCCACAAACGATTGACAAACATAATAGCTAATAGAATTAAGGTGACATTGTAGTTCAATCGACCAAATGACCAAACAGGATTTCGTTCAGGCAATAGACTATATTCATACTACGAATAAAGTAATAGAGAAATGCGTGGAATACAACCAACCCCTATACATAGCCTTCATAAATTATGAGAAGGCGTCTGACTTAGTCGAGACATCAGTGATAATGCAGGCACTACAGAATCAGGGTATCGAATAAGACATATACATACTAGAAAAAATCTCCAGTACATCCTCAGCCATCATAGTTCTCCATACATAAAGCGACAGAATCCCAATAAATAACGGTGTGAGGCAAGGAGACACGATCTCTTCAATGTTATTCACAGCGTATTTGCAGGAGGTTTTCATGACCGTATATTGGGAAGAGTTAGGGATAAGAGTTAATGAAGAGTATCCTAGTAACCTGCAATTCACTGATGACATTGTCCGGAGATGGATTACAGCTCACGATAAGCAGAACTGGACACGGAAAGCAGAAAAGTAGGTCTGAAAATATACTACACAAAACTTAAGGAATGTGCAACAGTCTCAGCAGAAAACAATACATTGCGATAGGTGGAGCGACGCTGGATGTTGTAAAAGAAAATGTGGACTTAGGACAGGCAGTAACCACGGAGTTTAATCATGAGGTTGGATTAACTAGTAGAATAAGGGTGGGGTGGATCACATTTGGCAAGTATGTTCAAATTATGAGGGGTAAATTGCCGCTAACGCCGAAGAGGAAGGCATATAGGAGCTGCATCTGCCAGTACTTACCTACGAAGCAGGAACCTGAAGGTTTACAAAGAGGACTCAGCTTAAATTGAGGACGACGCAGCGAGCCGTGAAAAAAAGATAGGTGTAATCCTAAGATACAAGAAAACGAGCAGAGTGGGTCAAGGAACGAACCGGGGTTAAGGATATCATAGTTGTAGTCAAGAATAAGAACATAACATGGGCCGGGCACGTAGCACGTAGGTAGGATAACCGCTGGTCATTAAGAGTAACCGACTGGATTACCGGAGAAGGCAAACACACGAAAAGGAGACAGAAAGTTAGGTGGGCCGATGGGAATAGTAAGTTCACAGGTATAACATGGCAACTTTGGTTACATGAGGATGTTGACTGTCAGGTGACGATTCCACAGATGCACAGCAAGCGTTCCTCACCCACAGCAGAAGTAAGTTCTTTTGTAGTTGAATATATTGAAGAAACGTGCGCCGACCATTTGGAAGTTTCCACCGATGAATCAGTCGACATAGTGCGTGGAGCAAGTGCTGCAGCATTTGTGATCCCGTCTCTAAAGGTGTCCTGGGCAGTGCGACTCAAGTGCGTCGTTTCATCGACAGCATGTGAAAGCGTGGCAATTCAGGCAGCCCTGCAGAAACTGAAGCTTTGTAGGCAGCAACAAGTCGTGCTGTTTTCGGACATTAAGTCCGCTTAACAGCGGCTAAAACATGGATTGGTTTTGGATCGATGCGCTCAAAGATCACTGCGAATCTTTAAAGACCTGCACGGCATTGGTATAAACATAAGGTTTCAATGAATTCCATCACATGAGAGTATAGCGGGTAATGAGGCGGCTGCAGACTTGCCCGGAGTGCTCGAGCTTACACCAACGAAGAAGGCTCTCAAAGACAATCAGCGTATTTTAAGAGAAGCTGTCAATAAGCATTTTCACTCATTATGGGTCACGCCTCACCAGCCATGTGTGACACAAGGGCTATTAAGAAAAGAGGTCTGCTTGCTTTATCGCATTCGAACGGGATTAGCACGTACACCAGCATGGCTCCACAAGATCAGACTCTCCGCGACGCCCTTGTGCCCGAAGTGCAAGGAAAACGGTGATATAGAACACTATTTGCTTAAGAGTCGTCAGCTTAAGAAGTAACGGCAAGGTTTATTAGAGGAACTGCAATGGTTAGGCTCGCCATGTGACAGCATGACTGATATTGTGTTTCCGCGCGGTCTGTCGATCTTCAGGAAACAGCTGTCGTGACTTCTCTTGAAATTTTAGAATGATACAGACCTCGCATGTGACTGCTGATAAGTGACAATTATGTTTGGGGTATAGTGCAGCGAGATAGAGTACTGGCACAATACTGCACGTGGAATAGCACAGAGGCCACCGTCTTATGCAAGCTTACGTCACGCTATACACAATTTTATTTTAAGAGCCTGCTCGTGCTTAGTTAGAAACAAACAAAGGACATTAGCAACAATTACCAAAGAAAAAACCGGGCGGGGCAACTGCCTGCAAATTATGCAAGGCTAGATCCGCTGGCTACCAATACAGCATCCTTACCCTTAACTTTAACCTTAAGGGAAAGCACAAGATTGAATTGATTGACGGATCGTAAGAGAGGCCTTTGTCTGCAGTGGGCGCAGTCAGGCTGATTATGATAATGACTACGAAGATCAATAGTAATTACCTGTTTGTGTTCGAGTTAGATGAGGAGGTGTGTTACAGATAACCATTAAAGCATCACGCTGACACACTTATCCTTTGTTTTACTGACATAATGTTCTGTCACACGGGTGTTCTGAAGTAGAGAATACTTGGTGAGACACACACACGTTTTGCCTTGTGAGAGCGTCCTGTTTCACAACGGCTGCATCCTGCGATAACAGCGAATTGGCTGCTACAGGGCGATGTTGCACAGAAAAATAGCAATACCATGCAACTTTGTTGAACCTGGAGCGTAACAGCTAAATGTTAGGCTAATGCATCGACCCAGCGCCGTACTCATTATTTTTTTCGGAGGTATTTATAGGTAGAACGGCTACCTTTGGCAACTGGTGGTCAACGTGAAGCGAGCAAATAGTATCACTCAAAAAGGTAAAGTATAAAACATATCGGTGGTGCAGAACCTTCTAAATTCCACCCTAGTTACTGGTCTCAATCGACTCAAAGCCGATTTAAACGGTCTTTGTCCTGCACTAGTTTTGAATAATGCAGGCGAAAAAAACAGACGGGAGAATGAAAAAAAAAACTGTGCAATAAAAAAAGCTTGTGAACTAAAAAAAAGTTAATACACAGCCAACTAACCTGCTATTGGGCACTGGGTTACGGATCCACTGAATCAGCTGCCAATTTGTGAGGAGCCAGACATCGCCTTTGGAAAGTATGTGGTCTAGGAAGCGCAAGAAGCCCTTCTTGTGATGCTGCGTGTTGAACCAGGCCGAGTGATAGAAGAGGTTGAACGGTGCCCGGTTGCTCTTGTAGTGGCGGTTGAAGTTCTTAAGTAGCATCTTGTAGACGCCCTCATCATCAGCCGGGTTTGAACACGCGTCGCCCATGGAGCAGCGACCCCCGCGAAGGTCGATCCACATCACCATGCCAACCTGCATTTGACAGTGCGCAAGCACTTTCATCTTAAGCATAAAGAACATGACTGGCTGTTTCGTGATAAACCTAACTTCTTTGCACAAACAAGCGAATTACTATTTACTTACAAGCCAAGGCTCTTCGTGTGTTTTGTGTTTTGTGTCTGTGCTTGTCCGCGGGCTCCCGAGAATTACGGCCACAGATTTTTTTTTAGGCTTCGTTGACTGTCCTCCAAAAATGTACCTGTCATACAAGATCGCGGGACGCTCAAGCCTGGCTTTGAAGAGTTGCATTCGACCCCGTCCGCATCATGCTCTTTAGTACTTGCCATTCTATCAAGTCGCAAAACCACGCCACTACGCGACACTGCTTTCTAGGCTGAAAATACGAGTTACTCGTTATTGTTTGTTTTCAATCAGCACTAGCTTACGAGGAAGACTTCGTATTACATCAGACACTTGTAAACAGTCTTCGTAATGGGTGGCCAGGTTGTTACGCACTTCGTGTAGTGTTGACGACCGATGACACTCCTGCCACGTATTATAAATTAACGAGATTGTATACTATTGCTATTGTCCACACGTTCCCGTCGCGAGGGTCACGTAATGTGGATGACTGCCGTACAGAATCGACATAATCGTAAAGAGGAGCTGTGTGCTCCGGGAGCACACGGCTCCTGTTTCTCCTTGCGAAAGCTTCAATCTTTCACTCTCTGCTCCTTTTTCTTGATTAAGTATAGCACGCCTGCATATTCAACATGGGAGAAACTCCTCAAACATAAGAAATATGTTTAATAAAAGTTAAAACAATATTAATACACAACAGCCACCAAAACGCGACTTCACGAAAGAAAAGAAAGACGACGCCGCTTTGATACTTGCTGAACTGGCGCCATCTTGTCCACCTTCACCTTGTGCTGTGCATTCTAAATGAATTATTAAAGGAGCTACTGGTAATTACCGAGTGGGGGGGGGGGCATGTGTGTACATCATGAGGTCTGCTCTTCGCCACCGACTTAAAAGAGTTATCACGCCCGCCCTAATTGACCTGTGCGAGTCGCCGCAATAGAGAAACGGCCATGATTCTGGACATGCGCCCTGCGCCCGTCTCTATCGAGGAGAAAAGCACTGTCATTCTTTTCGCCCTTATTGAACATTGCCCTTATTTACTCATTCTGGGTCTACATTTTTTACACACGCACTCTGCTCTCATAAACGGTTCAGCCGGCTATCTCCACCTCGATTTACCTCTCATATCCGACTCGACCAACCCATCCCAAAGCCGTCTATGCTGCAGCGATCTCAGACGATGCCCACCTAATTACATTCGTCGAGTTCCGCTCCTCGCCACCTCTACCTGATGGCGATAACATGACTGTGCGAATTCCTGTCGCGATGCTTTCTTGCTGTCTCGCACACGATTCTGACAGTTATTGGAAATCGACCCTGATTTCCTGTTGTTAATTTCGCACTCACTGTCCAAGCTTTTCCACGGGATCTTTCCCTGACCCAAGTTATCGCCCTTCAATACCACCACGTAGAGCCCTTCAGAAAGGACTATTGCTGCAGCTCAGCCACTGATTCTACTTCATCGTGTTCCTCAGCCGTCGACATAAAACGGATAGTGTAATCCGACCTTACGTGTGATAAAGCTGAAGCCGTTTCCCACGTTCTTGAGTGCTATCGTAGAGGTGCGCGCCGCTGCGCACCGCTGCGCACCCGTTTTTGCTCATGCCATTGGCGCCACCACCGAAGTACCGAGAGGGACCACGCCGTCGCTGCCACCGCCGACGCGCAATAATTGCGGCACGCCGCCGTTTTAACACAAGCGGGGAACCGCGGTATAAGATACATGACTTCTCCTACTTTTCCACAACTTTAGGATTTTTCAGAGCGACTTTTGCGGTGTCTTGACTACTCTGTTGTGTCTGTGTTTGCATGCTTTACCTATATAAGGGCCCTGAAATAGCTTCTAACAATGCACAATCGAGTGCGTGATTCTCTCATTGCGTTCTCGTTTTTTTCGCGCTCTTCGTGACGCCAGATTACTGATCCACGTGAAATGATTAGGGCACATGCTATCGCTTAGACGGAAATATAAGTTGTCTCCAACCCTACTTTACAATGCATTTCTCATATAATTGCGTGCGATAAAGTTGTCCGTTCACTGCAGTTTGTTAGTTTGCGATGTGCAGGCGGACATAACAAGAGTTTAGCGAACAGGCTCGAAATACTGATAGGCTCCAATCTGTATACAGCGCCCCCATTGTACACGTACTTTATGATAACATAATTGTAAAAGAGATATAGTTTGTAAGAATTGTAGACAAGGAAGGGTAGTGGAGTGTAGTGAATGCAACCGAAAGAAGATGCGCTGTATTATTTTATTCTCCCAACGGCCAAATTCTTCAGAGCGAAGGCGATGAAGCTTTCAATAGAAAAGGCCAGCCCTATTCGGCGGTTGCGGTATATTTTTTTTTGATTGCGAGAAGAATTATATGTCCTCTATACGGGCTTTCATCATCGCCGTCATGTTTCGTAGAACTTCAAATTGATAACGTTTGTGCACGCATTGTATGCTATTCCCACGAGCAAAACCTCGCGAGTGCTAGCGAGGGACAGTACTGAAGCATGAATGAAACAAGCTGCTCATCTTCATTATACACAGGGCGCGTGCGATGCCTGCCATCGATTGCTCCTCTACCAGAAAGAAAGCATTGTCGGCCTTATGCTGGAAAAAGAAGTATAAAGAGGAGAGCTCATGACGTAGGAAGCTGCGTGGCTTGATCCAAAACTGTGAACTTTGAATATAATGTCGTAGTTGTGAGCGCTGGCACATCAGCAAATGGCTCATGTACTCTTCCACACGCTATGATATACACTGCACGAACACTTTTGTTTCTTGAAGCGGCCCTATTCTCATACACCAGTGTTGTGCATTTTACAAGATCGGATGAAAATGAGTTAGCTGCAACCTTAGTTAATTATACGGCTACGTACTCCTATCGCACGATGTAAAACGTGAAGTCATCGAAGAATTCTCACACACAAAGCAGTTGAAGTCACCTCGAACTTAATGCATACTTCTCAAAGACCTGACATCAAAACTGTTTCGAACGTTTAAAAGCTGATGACACTTCTGTATTGGCCACTTTCATTTTTTTCAGGAATTTGATTGCGTTGGCAAATTGTGCAATGTAGATGTGCAGCTTAAGTTTTGTGACATTTCATGCGAATGTCTCTAAAGCATGTACCCGAATAATGCATTAAATGTAGCACAAGACAGCCATAGTGCAATAGAAAAATATTTATCCCACTCGCCGCATAAATTGTTTACGTAAACATTGTCATTCCAAGTGTAATCATAATCTTTCTTCATTTATGACATTGAAAAGTAAATTATAGGCTGTAAAATTATAGTGGCTAACATACTTCTTCAGCGATTCCTTGGCTACATTTATGAAAAAAATCCATCCACGTTATAGATTAGTCCTGCATCGTCTATGCCTTCGACGTTTATTCATGATGAGCAGTCCTCCTCAAACCCCGAAGCTATTGCAAATGCTTTTAATTTTCACATACAACGTGTTTTTTACAGATAACAGCATCACTCCATTTTACGCGTGCAGAAAACTACCGGCTCTTTTTAATTTTGAATTAAGCACCTGTGGTGTACATAACACTCAAGCAATTTTGTGGTTGTGAAACACTCTGGCCCGCACGGTACTCCAAATGTGTTTGTAAATAGGTATTCAGAATGGTGTGTCAATTATATTACTGTCGTATTTTTAAAATGTCAATATTACCTGCAGTTCTCCAGCTAGAAAAGTAAGCAAATGTCATGCCTGTATTCAGGTCCAGAAACAAGCAAACACGAAATTATCGGCCAATATATTTGCTTTTTACCACTTCTGAATTATTGGAGCATATATCATTAACAAATTATTACATCGTTGAATACGTAAATGCACACAATATTCTTTCTAGGTCGCAGCCTGGCTTTCATGTTGGCTATTCTACTGTTACATAGTCGCTTCTAATTACGCATGACATTGCAGTTTTTTCATAAGTACAGAAGACAAATTGATGCCATATTTATTGTCTCGTATGAGATCTTTGACATGGTTCGCCATGCCATACTTTCATTAGGTTTTTGAGAAATGTAATAACAAGAACAAGGAGGTTGATTGTATTAGCAGATTATTCGCGGTCGCCCTCAAAGTTTGTTACGTTTGACGACGCAAAGTCATCTGACGCACCAATGACAACAGGGGTGCCCCAAGATTCGGTGCTGGGCCCTGTTTTTTTATTTATTTATACAAGTGACGTCGTGTAAATTGTCGGTAAGACGAAAAAAAACTTAGTGCCCATGACTGTGTCATCTGTAAAACCATCTCTAGTACTGTCACGGGGTCGTGACGTGGCCGAAGACAGGAGATTTTATGTTGGAATTTAACTGTTTATTTGGGCGAACCTGTGCCCGGTAAACGGAAAGTCCGATTATAGTAGCGGTCTTGCACAGATAGCAGTGAAAGGAGCATCGGCCGTCGATCAACTACTGACAAGCGGCGAAGTGCGTCGCCATTTATACTCTTGCCATCGAAGGTTCTAGCGTTATCGCTGGCTGGTGACGAGTGTTCCAGAATAATCTGTACAGTTCACGGAGTGGGCGGGATCTTATAGAAATGATCTACTACAGTCCCGAAGCTTCTCGAAAACTGCTGGCGCGGGTTGCGCTGGGAATCGTGCAGTGTATTGGGGCGATAACAAAGCTTGAGGAACGGAACGTGGCATTGCCCCCCTCTGAAAAAGGCATCGTCCCGATGCTTTAACTAAAGATGAAGGTACAACAATTATCCAAGAAAGTACACTGAGTAAATTACGATACAGCAATATTATAAAAAACACTGTTTCAGTTTGTTAACGCGCAAGAAACGGCTTGAGGCGCACGACATGGACGACTTCAGGTCGCGATCGGCGTCGTTGAGAGCTCGTGATGCTGGCGGGGACAACCTCGT